TACTCGTTCACAAATAGCTTAAGCCAGGCAACATGCCATAATCAGAAAAGCTACCGATTATATAGAACACCAGAAGTCTACTATATTATATTATATTATACATACAGATTCTTCAATAAGAGTCGAAAAACATTAACAAAACCAATATACGCTTTTACACCTGGTTAAGGGGTATAAAAACAGCGCCCGGTTAAATAAAGAGAATATGAGGATTCATTTATATGTTTTCCACTATGAATTTCAATTAATAAAACAATCCTAATTAAATTAAATGTCAACACTTGCCCAGCTAAGGCACAAATACATACATATTTGAGTGTGTATTAAAATACTAGCGTGCATTACCCGGCTTAGCCCGGTTGAAAATGTTCGAAAATGAACGGGCCTATTGACTTTCAATTATAGTTATCTTTGGAAAATTGAGAATTTCTTCTGTGGAAAAAAGCTGGGGCTGCACGCCATGTGCAATCCACCCCAAACGTCGGAAAATGCGCGAATCGTCTCTCATCAGGTTCAAGCTTAATTTCAAATATCCTTCCGATCTTTACACTTTTCAAGTATCTGAATGGAAAAGTGATTCACAAATTTTGAAGAAAAAACTTTGCCCGAGCAAAGCCAGTTAATATTCGCTAGCATTATAAACTTGAATGTATATAGAGCGTAGATTAAGTAGACATTTAGATTACGGCTATTATCAGCATCCACTTGCTTGTTGTGTATTTGCTTTTGCAATTTCAATGGTAGTTTGAAAACTCTAAAAGTTTTCCATGTGCTCTATAAATCCAAGCATCAAAGGCCATTGGACGTATTGGGGCCACACAAACAACACCCAACACCAGCTGCAGCTGCATCTATACGTTATCCGAGTCTACAGATACAGATACAGATACGGATACAGATACATTCATACAGACACGGACTGCACTTTTACAGCTTCGCTTCAATTGCCCTGGAACTGTCGGTGGCCGCTTTGGCAAATGCACTTGAGAGTTGGCCCCACAGCATCGCAGATTCTCAGTGCTCGGTTCCAATTACATTCAATTACAATTACAATTACAATTACAAAGAGAAGCGGAGTCGAAATGGCAATGGGCACGTCGAGCTATTTTTGGAGTGACGAACTCCAAGTGGACCTAATTGAAGAGTCGCTATTTATTTGCGGGCTTATGTTTTGCAATAGGAAACAGACTTACACGGGAAGTTCCGACAAATAGGGCACAAGGTTTGTAGAAGCTGAAAGGATGTCCACATCGATAATTTAAGATCCAAGCTTCCAAGCTTCCACTTTTTTTCCACTTTGCAAACAAAGTGTATACAGAAGTCGAGTATGAACTCAGAGCTAGGTTGAATTATTCGTAATTTTTTTTTATATATTTTATATATTTAAAAATTGTCTATTGTCTTACAAAAAATAAGCCACAAACTTGATAAGTCGATAATTAATTAAACAATGCGACACGAACTGCAAACAATCCGGATGTATCAAATTGCAAAGGCTTTGTTATTGTTGTCAATAAAATATAAGAAAAACAAGTAAGAGGTTCTAGTCGGGAGCTCCCGACTAGGGGATACCCTGAACCCTCTTCTTCCAACATCAAATGCATATATATATTCTATTTTAGAAGCTATATGTCAAGTTTGGTGACTCTAGCTCTTATTATTTATCAAAATTGCCCAAAAAACATGATATCGATATCGATTTTTATCGATTGCTTGGAAACTGAGTAAGTTATCGATTATCGGAAACAAACTCGATCTGCGCGGGAACTAGGAGCACCTACATCTAAAATTTCAGTCTCTAGCTCTTATAGGTTCTGAGATCCTTGCGTTCATACATACGGACAGACAGACGGACATGGCTAGATCGACTCGGCTATTGGTGCAGATCAAGAATATATATATTTATGGGCTCGGAGATGCTTCCTTCTGCCTGTTACATACATTTGGATTTTGCACAAATACAATATACCCTTATACCCATTCTTAATGGGTATAAAAAATCAAACTGACAGATGGCGAATACGTCATACACTCGCTGGTATGTTGCATTATTTATATTATTAGTTTCATATTAACCGCATTGGGCATAGTTATTAACTTTTTAAATTACACTGATAACTATGGCCTTCAGCATAAATAAGTTCTACATCCAGTTATTCGCTCGTGATTCGAACCCGGATCCTCTTTTATCAATTACCCCAAAGACTGAGTCACTCAGACAGTCATCGACCGACTATTGTTCTATTATTTTATTTTTTATAGTATATCTACGAAGATTGTATCTTTTAGCCTATGCCAAGTATTGTTATTGTTTTGGCACCTACATGATAGTGTATATATATTTAAAGAACAAAAAAGTGTTGAAATAAACAATCTTTGCCAACTAGAGAAAAAAGGTAGAGTTAAGTTCTATTATTGTTTTGAGCCGAACTTCAAAGCTAAGAAGAAGATAGGCAGACATATGCTTTATATACATATATTCAGTCAGCTCGATCTGATAAAGAAAGTATAATAATAAGAATAATAGAGTTAATGAGACTAAATGAGACACTCTATAAACAGTGTATGGACTCGTCGTTGTCATCCATCTCCACATACACATACATACTTCTTAACAGAATGTTAATAGCTCCCATGTGAGAGTATAAAACGTTAAGGCAAATTGACGAGAAAATTAAAACAGCATGAAATTGCAAACATATTTATGAATGTTGTGGTTATTACAATAAAGTTGTGGCAATTAGGTAAATGTATATGACGTATGCGTGTAACAGGCGGCAGGGGAGGGGATAGAGGAGAGGCGCGCTTACTCAGGGCCAGGCCAGTAAAGTGCAATGACCAATAAGGTAAATGAAAACAGTCACAACAACAACAATAACAGACAAGGAAATATTTGTTTAAAAGTTATGAATTCGGTTTTAAAGCTTAAAGCTCCTCAACAGTTCAGCTCGAGTCAGTGGAAGGGAAGGGCCCGTAGTTTAATCGTCAATTGCGTTTCAACAAAAGAAACAACAGCAACAGCAACAACAATAACAGTAACAGCAGCAACAACAATAACAGTAACAGCAGCAACAGCAATTACAGTAACAGCAGCAACAACAATCACTGCAATCTGCACGCTAAATGTTAAGGTAAACATTGGCAGGGAAACGAAAAGAAGTGTGCAAAGAGCGGAAAAAAGCGTCGAGAATGACGTCGACGCAACGCAACGCAGCTTTTACCATTGCGCTTTTAACGGTGTTTGAGCAATAAAACATATCAAATTTAAAGTAAGTTTTGCGCATTTTTGGCTAAAAGCTCTGAGCAATCAAATAAAGAAAGATTTATGTTATCACCAACAATCTTATTGCTGTGTTCCCAAAATAAAAGCGAGTACAGTGAATTCTCTTTGTACAGTAAACAGAGATTCATTGTAGAATTGTAAAAATACCGCGTAAGCTCAAAAAAATGTGTTTAAAAAGACGGGTTTTTGAAAAAGTATGCAATAGGTATTTTTACATGTTTCTAGTTTCCTGCAACCTTTTATGAATTTGTCCAATATGACTATTATAACTGGAATTAAAAGTCAGTGCATTAGGTGAACTGTTGATAACACTTTCTTATGTCCTGATACCTCGCAAATATACCCTAGAGTGTTATGATTTAAGATTATTGATAGAGATTATTTGATAGAGTATATCCATTCGGTCACGGCCGACTGCAATTGTTTTGTTTAATTTTTTGTCGCTTGCCTTGCCCATATACATATGCAGTATGCTTAATTTCTCGGACTTTTCTCTCCTAGCACTCGCAAATCGATAAAAACAATTTTCTAGCTACAGAAGTCACAGCACGTGCATGCGGTACACAAGGTACGTACAATACGTACGTACGTGCATACATACTTGCATGCCTATACATATACACATGTATGTATGTGTGTATATATCTGCATATTGATGTATCAATTCGTGCAAAATAATAGATTTGGGCATTGTAGACAGAGAGAGAGAGAGAGAGAGAGAGAGAGGGGGATACGCTTTCTTATGCACCAAACTTGCAGTTTCAGGCATTTGGGCAAAGTGCGCATTCCGTATTTGAATTTTTTACGAACGCCGATAATTATTTGCACCCACACACACACACATATATATATATATTCAATATCAAGTTATAATTAACCACTTTTGTGGAGTGCCATTGTTTTGATAGCCTTAACTTACCTTGCCAGTCTTATCAAGGCCATTGTGCTAAATTTTTGGTCCAATTTATAATACAAAACGGTTGCGGTTGAGTTGTAAAATATTCAACTTGTATGCGAAAAAATTCGATTTGTTATTTTGGCAGTGCGAATAACGGCATTGGGCAAGGGCAAGGAAGCGCCGAAGGTGGACCGGCAAATTTTCTTTTGTTGTCTGCGCTGCCACAGCACAGAGTCACACACACATTGACACTCGGCACGGCACAACACAACACAACACAACACACACACACATGCAGGCGGCGCACGGCCGGCACGTAATAAAAGGAGAAGAATATCAAAAGCGACAACAACAACAATTGCGCGCGCACACAAACTTCAGACAATTTTCAATCGTCCGGCTACAACGAAGATCTGAGTCTGCCGCCCGGCACAAGTGGATAAAAACAAACTGTCGGCAACGACAGCGACGACGGAGACAGCGGCAGCAGCAGAAACATATGAGCGAACACATAAGTGTGACCAGCTACAAAAGCTGTAAAAACGAATGCAATGTATTAAATACAATAATTCATGTGTAATATTTACAAACTCTTAAATAAACTACAGTCTCTTTAATATATCAGAAAATCACTTTAATTCAACATGGTTATTGCTTTTTAATAATTTTTTAATTTTTCTTAAATGTGCAACAGTTTAGTATTTTTTGAAATGTTAACTAACAGTGGAGTTAGTCTGGCAACGCTGATACCAATGCCGCCACCTTGTGCGCGGTTGTCATTTGAAATAGAATTTGAAATCATGACACTTGGGGCAATACTATCAGATAATTCAAGTCTGTTTTACTTTTTTCTTGGCTACAATTAACAGTCCTAGTTTCTATTAAATATTTTGTACAATTGACTAGCTGCCACGATGTGGGAGGAACTGGAAAAATATCGCAATCATTTTCTGCAACACGAAATTAAAGATGTCATGAAGCCGAGTTCCATCAACTGTCAACAGAACAAGGGTAAGCTGTCTCCACCACGCACGGCTTTACCAATTGACCATTCGTTGTACAGAATGGGACAAATTTATGAAGAAACGTGACTGGTGCAAGCGATATCCACAGCGCTGCGCAGGGAGCTCCACCTACTTTGAGGATCGTGCCCAGCTGGCCTACGGCTGGTTTGCGTTGCCCAAACTAATGAAGGAAATCGACAGCGATGTGAATTTGACTCATTGGCGCGCTATTGTTTCACTGTCGGAGTTTCTGCTCAATCCACTCAATGCCCAGCGTGCCATACTCGAGATGGACCTAGTGCGAAAGTGAGGAGCGAGTAAATCCTTGTCATTCTTGTGCTCAATTTTAATCCTGGTGCCTTGCAGAGTAAAGAACGCATTCATGCGCATGCGATTGAAATTTCACGAGCAGCACTACGAAGAAGTTGAGACATATTTAAAGATATTTAGTAAGTAGCCGTGCACCTAATCTCCTAATCGCCAGCCACATCTATTCTACCTTCATTCCCATTCCCATTTTGGCAGACATACTCTCGCGCAATTTTAATGGCGCAGAGCATATCGCAAATCGCAAATGTTTAATGATTGAGTTCTATAAAATTATTATGGACAAGGAGCCCCGCAAGGAAGATCTAACTGCCGAGATACTGCGCAATCTGACGGGCAAGCCGAAGGGTAAGTGCCCGTGTCTGAGAATTCTCTTAACTAAATGCTATTCCATTCAGTGCTTGGCATTGTGCTAGCCGAAGCCGAGAACTTGGAGTCAGTGGCAAATATCTTTAAGCTGGATCCTTGCCAGCCGTTGTATCCGCCACACCTGTGGCATCATCTCTGCCACATGTTGGAGGTGGCTCCCGAGCAGGGCATTGAGCTGGGATTGTTTGAGTTCCTGCACTCGCGCATTAGGAATCGCTTGGCATACTTTTGGGACATGAACTGCAAGGCCTTTGCCCTGCTGCTGCGCTGCGCGGAGGGCCAGCGTCTGTTCGATGAGGCGGACGGCGTCAAGCTGATCTACGATGTGTTCGAGGATGTGTACATCAAGCAGTCCAAGAAGCTGCACTTCCAGCACGTCGAGAACTATGAGTACATTGTCCTGGCCCTGCTCAACGGACTGCACAGCAAGCGTGCCCTCTGGCGTAGCCGCGAGTTCACCATGCTCACCTGCCACGTGGGCCGCCGCATGGCCTCCAAAACAAATCCTCACCTGCAGCTCTACTGCCTCAAGGCGCTGCGTGCTCTGGGCGTGATGCCGTGCACCAAGCGCTACATCATCGGCAACTGGCTGGACGAGGTGCGCGAGCTGGACTGCCTGGATGCGGAGGCGGAGTGCGCCCGGGACGCGCTGCTCGATTGGCTGCGTTCCGACATTGCCGACAGCAGCAGCTGAGCGAGTTGATATTTCATTTATTAATTTAATATATTTTGGATTGTAACTTTCCCAATTACATTTGTTCAAATTGTCTTGTGCGCGCACTTTACGCTTTTATGATTCCCCTAAGTTTCCCCAGCTACTCAGACTACCCCTATTCTTAGCGGTTAACCGTTTCAATGTGCTCTCTCAGCTGTCCCAAGTCCCAAAAATTTCCCAAATTTCATGAGCAAAGCGGTTATAAAGCTCTCTCTCTCTGTGCCAGCTGTTTTCCCCAGCTATCTTAACAAAATAATTGAACAATCTCTAAAAGAAAAAAATCTCATATTTGTTTAGAATTAAGAGGCTTATAAGTCTCTTAAACCTAATTAAATACTGCCTGAATTGTCAATTTCGCTTACAAGGTCATTTCAAATTGCTGAAAACCCAAAAAAACTAAATTTTTAATTGTGCTGGCATTTTATCAACATACATTTATATATATATTATAATATATAATATATATATTTTACAATTAACATAAATTATAAAAATGTACACTAAAACATTTCTTATACCAAATTTTACAAAAAAAAAATATTTTCGTTTGAAAAAAAGTAATGTAGTTGTCCCACATCAATTCCATAGTTTAGCTGGTTTAGTCTAGTACTTTTTATAGCCTGAACCCATTGAGAATGGATAAAAAGGCTTTAATAGTCTTTGTCTTGGGTTTGGAGTAGTAAGCGAGAAGAGGTTGCCGGCTCAAACTCAGTAGACAATTGTCTAGTTATATGTTTGTTTACTTCCTTTCTTATTATTCACAAAGAAAAAATATTAACCGAAAATAAAATTTAGAATTGGAAATAGATAAAATATATGGTAAAAGACTTTTGTGAAAAATTAAGTTTTTATTTAATGCATTTTTTAATAGATTTGAGTTTTGTTTTTGTGCCAAATTTAAATGCAAACCTTACTCCTTCGAAATAGATATATATTAAATGCAATACAAGTTATTCGAATATGTAATAGTATTACATTTTATTCAGAGTATTTGTCCTTTTGTAAAGCGAGTACGTAACTCCATTTATTTGTAAGAACTTCTGCAACTTTAACTGCTTATTCTTAAATTAAAGGAAAGGCATCAAAGAACTTTTCCAATTTCCGCTTCTTGGCCAGCAGCTTCGTGTCGCCAATGGCATCAATAATGACCAGCGACATTACCAGGACCCGACCAGGACAACAACATCAACAACAACAACAACAACAACAACAACAACAGCAGAAACTACAACTACAAGAGTAGAATCCAAAGCCACAACCCGGCCGCAGTTTGGCGGTGTCTGCGGTTGCCAAGCCTCCAATGTTTTATGCATCTACATATATTTATTTTTCTTTTTTTTTTGTGTGGCAAGTTTTAATTTTTTGCGTTTCATTTTTCTGTGGTGACAAACTTGGCAACGAGTTGCAATTTTTAAATTTATTTGCAGCGACAGCCCGTAAACATTTTGTGCCAGCCCATTGCATGCAACCCGAACCCAAGACCAATTCCCCGGCCCAATCGCAAAGTTTTCCTCACTGTCATCGCTTCGTGGTTGGTCCTCAGAGCTCTCAACGATCCCCAGGTCGTGCTACGGATTCCATTTTTTTTAGGAACTTTTTAATTACCACATCTTTTCGCTCTACTCTTCGACTTTCTTGTGAAATATTTTATGGCAATTTTTGCTTACGTACCCGAATTCACATTTTCATCAAGTTGTAACTTTACGCCACTTAAATTAATTACATAGCAAATTATGCTTCTAAAGCGAGACAGTCAACATTTTCAAGGTTCACCAAAACTTTACCCACTAGACAAATTCATATTCCAGTTCACATTTTAAAAACAAACACAAAAAGATTACTATTTGAGATGTGTTTTTACGCTTGGCTCCAAGATTTCATTGGCAATAACAATTTAAAGCTATCAATATTGACTTTGTTTTCCAAGTATCTTTATTAAACGAAGTATATATTCATTTAAACCCCTGCCATTGGGCAGAAGAGGGCAAGGCAGCATCCCTCATTCCAAATATATCTACTTTTTTGGACCAATCTGTCAATCTATATGAATAGCTCAGTTCAAAAAGTGTAGAAAGTTTTATCAACTAAAACTGTTAATCAACAATTTAAAGGCATTTTAAGCCTCGAGATTCGAAAAATATAGTATATTTTATATATATTTCCAGTCTTATAAAGTATGTTTAACAAAAAGAATTTGTTTTTATTTTAAGGTGCTGTAATCCATGCTTGAAATTTATATATAAAGTAGTAGCAGGACGATAGTTATATATTATATATTATATATTATTATTACCCATTATAAAGGGGTTTTTTTGTATAAATGTATGTCTCCATGCAATCGATATGAATCGATATCGAAATACTGCTTATCGATATGTTGCCTGAGCATGTATGGCCTACACATATCCAGAATATTTCCCTTATTATCATTATTAATATTATTATTATCATTATTATTAATATTATTATTATTATTATTATTATTATTATTATTAAGATTAGGTATAATACAACAAAAGTGTGTTTCCCTTTTTCGATATCTGCATTATCACCGCACAGGTATCCCCTGCGATTGGCTAATACTCCCAAATAAACGTAGGGTATAAATGTTACAAAGAGTGTCCGTTTAATGAGCACATTAGTGTTTTCATTAGCAATCTAATGACTCGCATTGGAGTGGATTGTTAGGAGCGGCAACAACGGCTGCCCTCGAGCTGGGCCAACAGCAGTAGCTGGTGAGCCGCTGTCATGGCCTTTCTGCGCTCGTTCCGGATCGGCAACAGATACATAAGTTTCCATGCGCTGCTCTTGTTGCGCTTCTATTTGGCGCAGTTTTACTATTTGGGCCTGCTGCGATTGCATTACGAGCGCGTGGGCAATGCGGTGCATCTGACCCCGTATAGCGTGAGCATCTCGCGGCTGATTGGACTGCCCTTTGCGTACTTCCTGAGCGTAGCGCTGCTCAATCCGTACTTCTCGCTGCTGTACTTGCAGCCGTATCTGTTTGTGTGCTGCCTGCTGTGGCAGCCACGGCGTATTCATGAGCGCCGCGTGAGATTAATCAATGGATTCCTGCGTCTGGCGCCGGCGCTGTATCGCCTGAGTCGCCGCCAGTTGAAGCTGTCGTGGCTGTTGGTTTTTCAATTGGCGCTGAAGCTGCTCACGCTGAAGCTATATTTCTTGGTGCTGGCTCTACCCAAGGATGGGCTGCACAAGTTGGCTTTGATACTGATCTTCGTGCTGCCCGGCACGCTGTCCGTTTGGTGCCTGGACACGACCTCGCAGCTGATCAACATCTGCCTAAGCCTTTTGCTCAAATCCTTCGAGCAGCTGAACACGGAACTGATCTTTCAGGTCGAGCAGCTGCACATGAAGACCCTGCACGCCGACTACCGTGCCGTACACCGCATCCAGCGCCGTCTGCGCTCCCTGCAGCGTCTCTATGTAGCCTACGCGCGGCTCACCCAACAGCTCCTGGACTGCCTGGCACCGCAGCTGCTGCTGATTGTGGTCTATAATGTGAGCATGATCTTTGCGCTGTCCTATGCCCACTGGCGGCGGTTCTTGGACATTTTGCTGCTGGCCAATGGGCTGCGCCTGCTTTTCCAGTCTTTGGACGCACTGGTGGTTGCCACCGGTTCGCCGCGTGACACCTCGTGGGCGCATGTGGCGGATCTGCTGCAGCTCAACGAGGTGCTGGCCATGCACGGCTGGCTGCATCGACATTGCTGGACGGCCCTCGACATGGACAGCTGCGGACAGAGCGTAAGGCGTGCTTTGCTTCAGCCACGCCTCCAGGTGCTCGGGCTTTTCACGCCCAATCGTCGGCTCTTCTTTCGCCTGTTTTTCTCCTACTGCAGCTACCTGTACCTGAGCTACATGTGGAACAAGCGTCTCCCCGTGACCGAGCGGGAGATATTCAATTTACTGCTACACTGAGAGAATGCAAGTCACACCCGTTATCACATTATGTTTCTTTTTGTGCATTACTTGAAAACATATTCAAATAAAAATTGAATAAGAAACGTTAATAGAAAAACCGTGAACCGATACATGTGTGTAGTGGAAAATTGATAAAATTTAAAGAAATATATTTTAAGAACATAAATCTAAGCTTTACACAGAAATCTCCAAAGATTTTGGGCAAGTTAGGTGTGAAAATCTCTCAAACAATCCGCAGTAACACGAAACTTGGAGAGGTTTGATTTGATTGAAGAATCTGCACGTCCTTTATAGTATAAATTGTGGTAAGAAGAGAAAGTGAAGAGGTGGATGAGTATATAAAATACAGAAAGAGATGACAGATGAAGCAATAACATTTAAGAATTCAATCCAGAAGGGAGCAAGAAGGGAAGGTAAACAAAGCTTTCGAAAAATGTGTAATGTATTTAGAGGCTTAGAGGGAACCAAAAGTAATTCCTGTCCAATTAGTTGGAAAAGATTTCTGTGTTAAATGAAACTAGTCAAAATAATATAAATACAAAAATAAAAAATATTTCAATATTATAGTGAAGGTATTGGTATTGAAAATTTGACTCACACATAAATCTAACATTTGGGATCTCACATGCAGTTTTTTAAAATAAAACTTTGTTCGTTATTCAAAATTTATTTCTGTCAGTGTATTCTTTTTTCCCGTATAGTGAGGTTTTTACAGATTCCGTTGTGGGGTTGGAGACCGATGTCCAATAAATCAAAGTTTAGCTCGTGCTGGCAACAAGTTTCTGTCTTTGATTGCTTCTGCAGGCGCCTGCAAAGTGTCTCTTCCCGAGCTTGTGCCCGGCTGCAGGCAGGAAGTCAACTTGCTCGGTAATTGCTGTGAATTGAAGCATTTTGGAGACCTACTTTGATTGCAAAGCTGATGAAGTCAACAATAAACAGACCTAAAACTGCATAAAATGGGCCAAGTATTAACAATTAATTGCTGAACTGAAACCAATTCACTTGTAAACTCTTTTAGCAGCGGCTTAAGCCCTTGACAAATCAAGTAACCAAGTGAAAGACTGCATAATATATATTGGGAATTTCACATTCTAACTTATTCCCGTCGCTGAACACATTCATCATATATTTATTGAACGCCATTCGAGCTCGCGTTCGTAATATGTGCAGTACTTAAAACTATTTGGCTATATCTCCATATGTACAAATATATATATATTTATATATATATATATATATATATATATATGTATGTATATATGTGGAGAAGGGCCAGCAAAGTGGGCAACTGGCGTACATCTCTGGGTGGATAATTTTACATAATTTATGCATTCGCCTTTTGAGACATGTACAAAAATAACAGGCGCTGCGGGTGCCTGGAAACTGTTTCCACTTACGGACTTTCACCCACATGTTCAGCTTGCCGGCATCCCTGCTCCTCGACTGAAATATATATGTAATTGCAAGCCTGGCCGAGCACTTGAGGTGCCAAAGTGCTGGCTCCTGCTTCCATGTACTCTGTCTGGCCGTCTGCTGCTCCATTCAAGTCTTTGCCTCACACATGCCCATCCATCCGTTGGCTGCCCCTGGCTGGCCCTGCTCCTGTTTTCCGGGCACATAAATCATTTTAAGAACATTACCCTAACCGAGTGCGTATGCGAAATACTTTCTGTATGCTTACAATTTTGCACCTTATATGCAATAAGATTTATAGCATACTTGCTTAAGATATTTGCCCAGTTATCGCACTTGTTGTTCTGCGTTTGATTAAATTTTTAGTGTATCGCGTTATTTGTTCCCATTTTCATTTTCATTTTCATTTTCAATTGAGCAACTCCCCTCTTATTGCCAATTTAAATTTATTACCACTTGGCTTCCTTTTTTATGCTCTACGTGCATCTAAAGCGATTTCTGCTGGAAAATTGTATTTTATATACATATCTATATTTTGGCGAGTTTTGTTTTTTAGCTGCACAGACATTGAAAATCAATTAAATTTGTATTTTTATTGGAAACTGCAACATTTGGTTACCATTTCTCTGTGCAAATAGAAAGTTTTAAAGTTGTTTTTAATTGGCCGAAGCGTAAGCTTTAAGTTTACATTTTGCATTCAACAGCTCGTATTCAAGTTTTGGTCCGAGTTTGTGCCCTTTGAGACTACTCAGCTCAACTTCATTGTTGGCTGAATCTTATCTTCTATCTGTGATCTCAACACACGAAACAAAGACACAAAAGAGTCTGTGCCACAGCTAAGGGCGAAAGTTTAAAGACACTTTGTGCCAGTGTTTCTGTAAACTCTGTCGTGCACTTGTTGAAATTTACGGCCTGCTGATATGCCTTCAACGAAACCCAATGATTTGGCTACTGCTACTGGCTATAATAAGTTATGCGCCTGGAATTAAGCCGCTGGCGTAGCTGGCGCTGGGGCTGGGGAAGGTAGGTGGGTGTGGTTGGCACAGTGGCAAGCCAGAGCAGGGCCTTGCCCATGGCCTTTTATAAATCTCTTTAATTTATTAGATTTCATTAGACGTTTGGCGCCGACTCCTGCGAAGGGTAGCCGGGCGGGCGTTGGGTGTGATTCACATTGCTAACAACAAAAGCAACAACAACAACAACAACAACAACGACAAGAATATCAGCAGCAGCAGCTACAATGGCAGCTGCAGCATTTTTTATATTACAAGCTCAAAACATGGCACTAGCAGCTCGCATAAAAAGTAATAATGCGGCCGTTAAATGACGGCCATGGGGCAGAAACTGAAAACAAAAAAAACGTTGCATACTTTGCAGCGTCACCAAAACTGTTTGTGCCCGCGCGCGCCGGGGGCGTGTGGGGGCATGCTTGTATGTGTGCACGGTTGGCTTTGCAGTCGTGTCAAATTAGTTGTACCTTTCCTTTGTACCTTTCGCGAGATTTGAACGTTAAGCCCAGCCTGGGCTAACAATGTGTTCATTATGTGTGCGTAAAATAGGGGTTGATTAGTTGGGGCTGGCACGTAGTTTGATTAGCAATTTATGGAGTCAATGATGCTCCTTTGACACACTTTCTCAAAAATATGCTTGTGAAAAGGCAGAGGTATAAAGAGCTAAGGTCAAGAGATGTATAGCAGTAGGGGAGTATATATGCGTATGCGTGTTTTATTTGCAAGTGCAAGTGCTGTTCGAAGAGACTTGTCTGGAAAACAATTTCCGATTCACAGCAACTATAAATAGGCTAAAATCAAATTAAAAATATGCAGAAATTAAAAAAAAAAACAAAAATAAGATGAACAGTCGGGTGCCAGCAACTCCGCAATACTCACTTAAAGGCAAATGCCATGTACCATAAAATCTCTTACAAGGCTAAGAGATATCTTTTTTTTCGATTGGATATGTATTCACACCTGAGTGCCTTATGTGAAACACGAGTAAATATTCTAAGTATTAAGTTTCTAACTACAAACGGGCAAAAACAATATGCTCTTTTCACTTCGTGAATGTCAGGAACACTGGTAAAGTGAAAGGAGAAATTCATCTCTGCTGTACCAAGAATTATTTCCAATCGCAAAAAACTTAAATTATTATTTATTTGTGTCTCCGAGTCGATTTGAGCACTTCTCATTATGTTAAGTTGCAACTATTGCAATATTCTCTTTTTTAATAACAGTTTACTGTGTCAAACTTCTTTGAGTTTCGTCTAGAACGTGACAAAATTTATACTCTAGTCTGTAATTGGAATTTGCATTTTTTGTTTGCCTCAACAAATAGAGAATTTTGTTTATTATAGTATATGAATAGTTTGCTTATTTTCGAGTATTGTTATTGTAAAAAATACCTTAAATTGCAAGATAGCATAAAGTCTATAAAATGATGTCGAAAAAGCCCTGCTAGTCGGTGGGTAGCGAACAATTAAGTTAGCTAATTTAACTCAACCTTATAAAAAATGTAACTTTATTTCATGAATGTATGTGTGCATTACGGATCACTCCAAATAAATTGCGCACTCAGCAATGTCTGCTCTACGCCCAGAAACACACACACACACACACATACATACTCTTACAAAAACGGCGCCAAACAAAGGCAACAGCGCTGTAATCAACAAAATTACACTAAAATACAAAAATAAATTTGACACGAATGCGACGATGACACAAAAGGGCCACCGCATCGTACGGTCTCTCCCTTCCTCTCTCTCCTCCTCCCTCGCTCTGTCTTGGCAACTGTCTCTCTCAGCTGCGTGTGTTCTTTCGCACATGTGAAGAGACAGGGAGAGTCGGGAGCACGAACCACAGTCAAAGTAAAACGGTACATCGCTCCCAGCTTACAATGTGAAGTTGGCTGCGAGTACATGAGGCGCTGCGTAGGTGCTGCCAGTGTCGGTGTCGGTGTGACTGTGGCATTGTGTTGGTGTTGGTGTGCGTGCGTGTGGGTTCGGTCATGTGCGACACTTTGTAACATATTTTTTGTCATTTGTTTCCTCTGTGTTTGCCTCTTTTTCGGCGTCGCTCGTCAGCGACTCGTCCTCGTCCTCGTGCTCGTCCCCATCCCCGTGCTCGTCTTCGTCCGCGTTGCATGCCACTCCACACACGCATCGTGTATATTAGTGTGTGTGTGCCAGAAAATGTTACATTGTTTTTGGCACGCAAGGCGACACCGCGGCAGTCACACCTACACTCAGGGCACACACTTACAGTTCCACTTCACAAACACACACACACACACACGCTTCCACGTATCAATCAGTTAAAAAAATACATATTCGCCAGGGTTGCCACCGTGGCCCGTTTGTTTGGCGTGGCTGTTGCCACTCTTGTTGTAATTTTATGGCAACATTTATAACATTTATTTGTATTTTTACGACCTGAATTGTCTTTGTTGCTTTATTATTATGTCTCACTTGGGAATTTTATGCGCGCCCCTAAACCCCCCAACACGTCTCCCCCTCTGTCCCCCTACCGCCACCTCCACTCATGACAGTACAATGACTTTTTAAGTGGGCGTGCCAGGATGGGGAA